TTTTCTAAGGGTGACATGATTTGAATTCAATAAATTTTGTTTGTTAAAACTCAATTTGTTGTACAATGCTGTTTCATAAATCAAAGAAAGTGACAGTGGATCTTGCTTAATAAATAGTGCAGCCTGTTTTAGATGTGAGAGGGGTTTGTTTAAGAGATTCAGTAGCATAAATTACACACATACACACACTATTTAAAGCAATAGCAAATTGTACTCATATGCATACCTACAGTATATGTTTATATCTTTATACAAACATATATCACATATATACACATATTTCAAAAGTTTAAGGTCAGTAAGAGTTTTTTAAATGTTGTGAAAGAAGTTTCAAAATATTGGTCCCCATTGACTGGGAAAAAAAACTATGGAAGTCAATGGGGACCACAAACAGTTTGGTTACCCTCATTCTTCAAAATACCTTCTTTTGTGTTGAGCAGAAGAAAAAAATTCATATAGGTTTAAAACAACCCGAGAGTGAGTAAATGATGGCAGTTTAATTTTGTGGGTGAACTATCCCCTTCATGTCTTTGAAAAAAAATAGCACTGACCCCAAACTTTTGAACGTTAGTGTATATAAAAGCATGTTATTTATATGATGATTATACTGAAATGATTAGAATATGTAAAGATGGGACAAACAAAATAAGTCTGTGCATAATATAGTCATCATAGCCAACAACATAGCCTATAACAGATATACAATATTATCAAATAATTCAAGTAGGCTACTCACATAATCAGTGTTGGGGAGTAACTAGTTACATGTAACGGAATTACGTAATTTAATTACAAAATAAAAGTAATTGTAATCAGTTACAGTTACTGAGAAAAAATGTGTAATTAAATTACAGTTACTTATTAAAATGTTAAGGATTACAAAGGGGGTTACAAATTTAGAAAAGTAATCAAATGTAATCAGTTACATTACTTTAATAAAGTAATTGAAAAAGTACACTACTTATTACATTTTAAGTAGGGTAACTTGTAATCTGTAACCTATTACATTTCCAAAGTAACCTTCCCAACACTGCACATGATACACAGAACACAAAATAAATATGGTTGAAGCTGTTTGTCTGGTTGTCTTGGTAAGATTGTTGCCATATGAAGAACATGCATTTTGCTTTCAGTTCAGTGTGTGTGTGTGTGTGTGTGTGTGTGTGTGTGTCAGTAGCCTATGTATTAGAAAGCCAATGAATTTATCAGTCAATGTCATATAGTCGCTGTACAGAAAGAGAACGAGAGAGGGGCGTATAAATGCAGAAGGAACATGTCAGAACAAAGTCTCTTGAAAAACATTAGTAATTTAATTTCAACATCTCAATTTAGCATTCACATTAACTGAAATACAAAGTGTCTCTTGCTGAAAGTCACTCCCCCTCCTGACACACCCGAGCTTCACAAGCGCTGCTGCGCACTGAGCCATGCACGAGGAAGCGAGAAAACCTACTGAGCTTGGTAAGCACAAGCAGATCTCATTATGTTAGTATCTTGACAACGAAGCGATAGTAAACTTTAACTCAAAGTAGGAAAATAATACTATAGAGTTTGTTTTTAGTGATTCATTTCAATTTATCAAGGCTGTAATCGACACATCGTATTTTCCTTCAGATTTTCCCCAAACTAGCCACAACATGCACTCCCATAGCAATGATAGTGTTCATCTGTCAGCTCTGTCGGATATTCGGCTGATGTGAAGAAAATATAGCGGTTAATACAATAGCATAATAAGAATCATAAATCAAAGTCTAAAATTTGAACGAAGCTTTTATTTGCATTTCTACGGTATGTAGCCACGTTAGCTTGTTTGCTAGCTAACCAGACAGTGAGGTATAGTCCATGACAAGAACAAGCGTAACCCTTAGATATATGTGAACACACAGGGTTTTTTATTTTTTGTATTAAGTGTCATGCGTTGGTCTGTAAAAACATAGATCAAATCATAAGCTTCTCTGAACGCAGGGAACTGCATCACTGGAAATAAATGGGGAGTTGTCAACTTCCCTGAGTAATTGAATGTCATGTACAACGGTGTGACAGACTATACTCCGTCTAAAACTATTTTAAACCGCCTTTTGCGAATTATTTGTAATTGTTGTCCATGCAGCTTTCATGACTAATATTATTTTAGAGACTACATGATATACAGTATGTGTAAGTCTATTTAATGTTAAATACATTTGTAACACTGCAGGACCATTAAAAATTAACCAGTGAAGACAAACATTGTGTTTTAAAAAGATGACACGGTTTAGAAATGTCGACCAGTTATAGGACCTAAGCTTTTTATTTTCCCCATAAATTGTAACCCAAAATCACATAAACTGTCATAAAACATTATTAGATATATTGTGGTATATAACAACATAATTATTCAGTGCATCCCAAGTAATTCTGACGGGCCATATCAGAGAGATAATATGCTGTTTGACCCTTTGTGGGTTTTGCATTGACACCTGCACTTTATGAATAAATAATGTGAGCATGCATGCAGAATAGCATTTGTGAGACTTACTGAGCCGCACTGTCATGTTAAAGCAAATATGGCTTACCATTGTTATTAGGAACTCACTAGAAACGTTTAAATGCATACTAGTATTCAAATTAAAGGGGTAGTTAACCCAAAAATTATCCAAAAATGGATAATCATTTACTCTTTTTTTTTTTTTCATATCAGCTCTAAATCACTTCCTCAAGACGAGCGGCCTGCACTGTGACTGGAACTGGATTGCAAACACTCTAAATCCTTACTATGAAGCCAACGGACGTGGTTGCACTATTACAGATGACAGACTCATCGCACACACTCTGCCTTGGTGGTTCTTTGGATCCGACAATACAGGTGACATAATGCTTCAGAAGCATCTGCTGGAACTGCCGAGATTTGTGAGCAACATGCACAGTGTTGATTTGGTTACAGCAGATGGAAGCTTTGACTGTCAGGGGGACCCAGGAGAACAGGAGAGATTAGTTGCCCCGCTTCAATATTGCGAAGCCGTTTGTGCTCTTCTGCTTTTAGGAACCGGAGGCTCATTTGTCCTGAAGATGTTCACACTATTTGAACACTCATCTGTCTGTCTGCTGTATCTCCTTGCATGCTGCTTCCGTTCCGTGAACGTCTTCAAGCCAGGCACCAGCAAGTCTGGAAATTCAGAGCTGTATATAGTGTGCTTGGACTATCAGGCCAAAGAACAAATTCGGCCATTGCTCTCAAAGTTAATCCGTAATTACGGACCAGACTTGGCATCCACAGTGGCGCTCTCACTTTTAAACTTCTCCCTGACAATGCGTTGAAGAGTGGCGAATTGAACTCCATACACCTGTGTGAAGCCCCTGGTGCCTTCATATCAGCTCTAAATCACTTCCTCAAGACGAGTGGCCTGCACTGTGACTGGAACTGGATTGCAAACACTCTAAATCCTTACTATGAAGCCAACGGACGTGGTTGCACTATTACAGATGACAGACTCATCGCACACACTCTGCCTTGGTGGTTCTTTGGATCCGACAATACAGGTGACATAATGCTTCAGAAGCATCTGCTGGAACTGCCGAGATTTGTGAGCAACATGCACAGTGTTGATTTGGTTACAGCAGATGGAAGCTTTGACTGTCAGGGGGACCCAGGGGAACAGGAGAGATTAGTTGCTCCTCTGCAATATTGCGAAGCCGTTTGTGCACTTCTGCTGTTAGGAACCGGAGGCTCATTTGTCCTGAAGATGTTCACACTATTTGAACACTCATCTGTCTGTCTGCTGTATCTCCTTGCATGCTGTTTCCGTTCCGTGAACGTCTTCAAGCCAGGCACCAGCAAGTCTGGAAATTCAGAGCTGTATATAGTGTGCTTGGACTATCAGGCCAAAGAACAAATTCGGCCATTGCTCTCAAAGTTAATCCGTAATTACGGACCAGACTTGGCATCCACAGTGGCGCTCTTTCCCCGTCGCTGCATTCCAGACTCATTTCTACGTCAGCATGAAGAGATATGCACATTTTTCCATGCATTGCAAGTTAACACAATCCAGGAGAACATCAAGCTTTTTGAATGCATGAGCGTAGAACAGCGCAGGCGATTGGAGCAGCTCAGGGAATATGCTGCAGAGTTTTATACAAAACGTTTCAGTGTTCACTACCTCCCTCGGAAAAGCTGGGTTTGCCGTGGTGGCGTGGCCAGATGGGTAAAACTCTGTGAAAGGAAGCAAATGGGCTCTTTCAATCAGCGCAAGGAGATGGAACTTCAGGGATGGAAGCAGCGCCTTGCCCATGGTAATCATGGGGAGTTCATAGAGAGGCACTGTGCAGGGACAGAAGGATGTGAGATTGTACTTAGTGGCCAATTGGATGAGTGCGATTTGGGAGCCTGGTTTGCCCTTGAGGGAGCTGCCTTGCCGAAAGTCTGCAGCTCCACCTTCTGTGATCAAGAAATGCTAGACTTCCTGAATGAAGCTCTGGAGGAGAACCTGGGGGTCAAAGCGGTGAATCATTCTGACAGAGCTTTGCCAGTATGCAGCTCCTGTAGCATTGACTCCCCTGTAGGCATCTTATCTGAGATTTGCAGCAACCCTGATGTGACATCTTGTTTGGTGCTGGGAAGACAGTCTTGGTGTGACGGAACACTTGTAGGCATTAAATTGCAGCCAGAGTTTTTGCAAGGACCCTCCTGTTGTGAGGTACAGGATTCCACATTGCACGACGGACAACCAGACTATCAATTTGATCTTTTGAACACTGTGCTTTTTGCTCTGCAGAAACAGCATCAGGGATCGACCCTGGTGATTCCCTTATGTTCTGTCTTAACACGCTTCACCTCCGGCCTGGTTTTCACACTCCACCTGTGCTTTCGTTACATCACATTCCGTTGTTTGTCTGGTTGGCCTCCTGCTGTTCTTGTGTGTATAGGTTTCTCTCCACCATCAGCACTACCCCGGCTGCTGGACTTTCTCCGGGACGTGTTGGAGAAGATGAAAAAAGTTCAACTTGAGCTGGGGAGGCAGATTCTGCAGTTTGTACCTTTAGAAGAACTTCTCAGAGGGGAATTACCTCGCTTCCTGTCTTCCTTCAATACTGCTGTTGTTCGACAGCAGCTACATGTGCTCATGCAGGTTGAATAGCGCACATAATGCTACCCCTGTATGCCTAAATTCTCTAGAAGAACTTTTCAGTTAGATTACATTTCAGTATAATCATGTCTTGGTTTACTTTAATTTAAAGAGCAGGTCATATGGTATTTTAAAGTGTCCTAATATTGCGTTGGGAGTCCCCTACAACAGGTTTAAATGCATCTAAGGTCAGGAAAAATTGTAATTTTATCAGAATATACATTTAATATTAGAGTCATTTGCCAATGATTTCAAAACGATTAGTTCCAAGCAAGTTCGGAGAAAACCCCTCCCTTCCATAAGCCTACACTGCTCTGATTGGTCAGCCGGCCAAGCCTGCTCTGATTGGCACAGAGAGGAGTCCTTGAGCAAGTTAGCGAGCGCTACCATTGACAAAGCACCTTTACATAAAACAATAATATAGTGCTCCAATCCGTTCTTAAAATAATTACATAAAATACAAAAACAGTTATGCAAGCGAATCGTGCCCACAGCTAAAGTTTAGCTGCTAAACTGTGAACATTTAAAACAATAATGGTGGATACGTTAGCCGATTGCTAACGTGACTATAACTGATGAAACAATACAGTTTGTAAACCAAAATATGTCTACTGTAATGTTTGAAGAACGACAGACAAAAGACGCTCTGTCTAAACTTTTAATCAGAACGCAGAACAGCTGTATCACAGGCGCAGCAACCTAACTAACTCCAGCATTAACCCTATAACTGCCGTGAAAGAGATATTTTTCAAAAACCCATATGACCTGCTCTTTAAGCCATAGTTGCACCAGTGCTACAGTGAATATGTAGGATACATTGGAACGCAGAATTCATTTGTTTTATATGTATACTGGGTAGAAAATATTGCTTTAATCTTGAATGTGCTGCATATGACTGCAAGGATTTTTAAAAATATATTAGTAATAGTATGTGCAGTTCAAAATGCTTATTTTAATATTTGTTTCATTACATTTTTTCTTTTATTAAATGTTTGAAATTATATGTGTTTTTTTGATAAATTTGTCTGTCCTGGCTCATTTATTAAAATCTTTTCTTAATTGCATATATGGAGTGTTTTCACTTGTTGTTACCATAAATAGCAACTAACAGAAACTGTTATCAGAGTTTGAGGTATAATGGCTGGTACACAGTATATGGTGGGGTACATTAGACATTTGACAGTTGTGTTTGATTGTATTCATTATGACTGTGTTGAAAGCTGCAAATGAGTTATTAATCTTTTGCATTGTATAGCATTGTTTTCCAACAAAAGTGTGTTTAGGAATTAATGGACTTACATTATAGCTGAAATCTATAATGCAACTCTTTCTTCTTTTTGTTTTCCAATTATAGTTTGTTGCATATTTTCTGTTTGTAATTAAACAATCATTTTAATGAACAAGATGTTTTGTAAAGAAAACATTTGATGAAAAATACTAGCATTTATAGCAAATATAAAAATGCATTGCAAAACATAAAAACTGATCGTTCTTTTGCAGTGGGGCTAGTAAAAAAAAAATCTATGCTGGCCCAAATAGCCTACAATTAAAAAAATACCAAAATGTCCATTTTATTTTAGAATTTGGGACCATTTGCTTGTGATTGATTGATATATTTTTGAAGTTGGAAGAAGTGTATAAAAATAGTCACAGTGGTAAAAAATAGGTTAGTGGTAAAAATCATTTACCTGTAGGGTCAAAAAAAAAAAATATATATATATGTATATATAAAAAATATATACCCTTTACTAGTTTCCTAGTGTTGATTGGTGTTCTCCTTTAGAACATCAAAAAATAACTATTAATCTGGCCAACAAAGTTTTGTTTGGTATGCATTTGCTCCTTTTCCTTAATAAATAATGTGACTATTTCAGTGTTCACTGAAAAAGGTTTTGACAAATAATAGTCAAGTCTGAGCCAAGGGCTATGAGTTATCTGAGTTACATATTTTTTATGTAGTTTTTTATGAGTCAGTAACAGCCGGCATTGTAGTCTACTCTACCAGGAACAGGAAACAGTCCTCCATAAAATGCGCTGCTCACATCTGAATATTTGGGTTGAACTGTTCTGGAACAGTGTTGTAAATACAACTTAACCACTGATTTCTAGTCGTGTCCTCTTTTGGAAGGCCAAACAAAGTAGTTTCGCTTTCACAACGAAACACAGCATCACACACGGCGGGCTTGAGTGAGAAACGGCCGGCGGATTCGACGAAGGAGCGGCCAGCGGGTTTGCGGTAACCTCATGTGACGACCCCAGGCTGGACTCCGCTTCGTCCACGGTGAAAGCCGATCTGACGATCCACAGAGCGAAGTTGATGTATTTCCTCAGCGACCAGCACGGATCAGTTCTAGACATGATGAAGCGGATATCGTACTCTTTTGGAAGACCAAACAAAGTAGTTTCGCTTTCACAACGAAACACTGCGCCTTTGCGACATGACGTCGGCGGCAACAACAATACTACAGCGAGAATAAAAGTTATGCCTTCTTTCTTTGCGTGAACATTTGGGCGGCGTTATGCAAATCTTCCCACATAGTGAGGTAGATATGTGGGGGCGTGTTAGAACGAGCCGTTTTAGGTAGGCGTGGTTGACTCTTAACTTTTATAAAGAATATCTCTTTGGATTTGAGACTTTAGTCTTTGCAACTTTACAGATCTTTATGCACCAAGAGCTTGTAACACTCCAAAGAGAAAGGAAAAATTGAAATCGCATCATATGACCCCTTTAAAAAAACAAAAAACAAACTACTAGTTTTAGCTGGTTTGCTGGTCTTCACAGACTTAGACTGGTCTCTCATTATGGCCCAGCAGATCATAGAAGGTTTGTGCTGGTTTCTCAGCCTGGCCAAATTAAAAATGCCCAAAATTTTCTAAAACAGACCAGGATGGGAGACCGACTAAAGCTGTTTAAGCTGTTTTTGTCTACTGTTAAAGCTCTGAGCACACTTATTAACATGTATAGGATGGGCCGCATGAGCATTTTGAGATGATGAATACAAAAACATATACTGGAGTAAATTTTGCACACTACACAGAACTGCAACAGCCACCTGCTGTGCAGGCCTTTAGTGGTTTGTAACTATCAGTACCATGGACAGATTCACAGTTGGAGTGGGATTTCCATGGATGTTCCTCTCTCAGCCTCATTACAGTATGTCTGTTGAGGACTGTCGGCTTAACTGTTTCTATGAACATATATTTTCCTAAAAGAATTCAGTAATAGAAGAATATACTGCCTAAAGTGAAGTGACACACATTTGAACATGTACAAACATTACGTCGCTAATAGCTGCACAGCATATGAGATGATTCGCAATAATATCTCTAACTGAAATCATCATATATGTCACACATTCAGTATTTAATCCACTGCTCTTAAAGCCTCTTTCCAATGTTACTCTCTTCTAATCTGTCCGGCAAAACCTCCATAACTCTGTGGTCTCAGCACTGAGTTAGCTAGAATGTATGCCAAGAGACTGATTCATTAAAGAAAGTGTTTTATTCTGTAGAGTGATTCATTAATTCATGCAACATTTCTTACAAGACGCAGGTTAGGTTTGCAGAGCTGCTTTTGTTGAAAGGTAAAATCAAAGTCAGTCATGTTTATCTTTTTTATTATACGTATACAGTGCATTTCTTTTCACACACATATTTTCCAGACAGTATAAATATATTCACCCTCTCTACCACTATGTCTGTAAAAGTGTGTGTGCACATGCTCCTGTTCCTGAGAAAACCTGGCGAGCTATAATTTGGAAAGTTCCACTGCTTTGTGTGTGTATGAGGAGACGCATTCATTACTATTAGGACTTCAGCCTGAGCACTCTGAGTGGTAGTTTTTGTTTAGTCAGCACACATAACTCTTTCCGAAGATTGACTAAATTGGACCTTTTTAAGCTTTGTTGTTTAAACTCAGAGGAATAAATCTGTGATTTAAGAACCCTTTAAAGGTATAGTTCACCCAAAAAATGAAAAATTCTTTCATCATTTACTCGCCCTCATGTTGTTCCAAACATGTATGAGTTTCTTTCTTCTGTTGAACACAAAAGAAGATATTGGTAACCAAAGAGTTGCTGGTAGCCATTGACTTCCATAGTATGGAAAAATAAAAACTATGGAAGTCAGTGGCTACCAGCAATTGTTTAGTTACCAAGATTCTTCAAAATATCTTCTTTTGTGTTCAGCAGAACAAAGAAATTCATACAGGTTTGGAACAACATGAGGGCGAGTAAATGATGACAAAATTATCATATCCATTTAATCTCTCAGATTTTTTCTATCTTTCTTTTCTGTCTCTATCTTATTAATCAAACATGTATTGCCTACTACACAATTTAAAAAAAAGTTCTTCAATGGTTTGTTACCTACCTTAAGAAATAGTTAACCCAATAATAAATATTTGCTAAAATGTACTCACCCTCAGGCCATCCAAGATGTAGATGAATTTGTTTCTTCATCAGAACAGTTTTGGAGAAATTTAGCATTACATCACTTACTCATCAATGGATCCTCTGCAGTGAATGGGTGCCGTGAGAATGAGAGTCCAAACAGATGATAAAAATATCAAATTAATCCAAAAGTAATCCACATGACTCCAGTCTGTCCATTAAAGGGTTACTTCACCCAAGAATGAAAATTAGCTTGTGTTTTACTCACCCTCGAAGCATCCTAGGTGTATATGACTTTCTTCTTTCAGACGAATCCAGTCTGAGTTATATTAAAAATTGTCCTGGCTCCTCCAAGCTCTATCATTGCAGTCAGCGGGTGTTGCAGTTGAACAGTCCACAAGTCAT